TAGACCTGATACAGGGACATAGTCTTCAATTTCTTTAGCCATAAAGGGCCAGTAAAATCTTTCCAGAGCAAGATGGAGCACTCTTTCTGTGCCTACATGACCCATCTCATTGTGTAGGTACTTCAGAGCTATTGGCCTGTGTTTCAGAGGGAGGACTAACTGCTTTTGCTGGTTCGTCCTTCTGTAAAGGAGGCCGTCTTCAAGTTGCAACTTACTCCACTCATGCAGCAGCTTTCGGGTGGCTCCACTTACAGTTTGGCGTATGTCATCTGTCAGTTTTGTGTTTGACTCCTTTAAGTCAATAATCTTGCCTATGGCTTGATCCTCTCTTTGAGACTTAACAAGATCATCATGGCTGATAGCTGGCAGGTGACCATGAGGTGGGAGGATCCGGGGAACACATGTTAAGTGCTGCAACCCAGGCCACATCCTTCCGTTCTGCTGCCTGACTCCCATCCCATGTAGCACGCACTGCCTCGTTCGAGAGCTCCTCTGTACAAGCCCCCTCATATTTTTCCATGTCCAAGGGGAGGCGAGACAGTGTGTCTGCATCCACATTTGATTTTCCAGGCCTGTACCTGATGTCGAACCGGAAATCTGAGAGTTCTCCCACCCACCGATGACCAACAGCGTTGAGCTTTGCTGTACTCATGATATAGGTCAGGGGGTTGTTGTCCGGGTACACAGTGAAATGGGGAGCGTAGTACAGGTAGTCCCGGAAATTTTCACACACAGCCCATTTCAATGCGAGGAACTCCAGTTTTCCACTGTGCAGGTGGTAGTTACGTTCAGCCGGTGTCAAAGTCCTCGAGCCATAGCCAATGACTCTCAGCTTTCCATTCTGGCGCTGATAGAGGACATCCCCCAGGCCCTGGTCTGAGGCGTTTGTATGCAGTGTGAAAGGTAGGTTGAAATCAGGATATGCAAAGACAGGTGGGGTTATAAGGAGAGTGACCAGTTGCTCTAAGGCTTCCTGATGTTGAGGGGTCCAGTCAACAGGCTCTCGGGAAGGCAGCTGTGGGCGTTTGGTGGTTTTCCCACGTGTTGGAATCTGGGCTTTCCCTGGCTTAGTTTGGAGTAGCTCATAAATTGGCTTTGCGATCCTGGAAAAATCCTGGATGCATGAACGATAATATCCCAGGAAGCCGGTCAGTTTCCTTACCTCACCAACTGTCTGTGGTGTCTTGCTTGTCAAGGTTTTGACTGCTTCAAGGTCCTGTGGGTCTATCTTGACACCATCAGCTGACACAAGGCGCCTCACGTACCTGACTTCTTGTCTGAAAAGCTCACATTTCTCAGATCTCAGTTTTACTCCGTGCTGTTGAAGAGCCTGGAGAACTTTGCGGAGGGCCTCCACATGTTCATTGAATGTTCTTGTATAACAGAACACGTCATCCAGATATGGGATGCTCTGCTGGAATGCTGCTGGGGCATTTGAGAGTCCGAATGGGATACAGACCCATTCATAGAGGCCCCACGGGGTGGTGAAGGCAGTCAGGTGGCGTGAACCCTCGGCGATGAAGCGCTGATGGTAAGCTTTTTCCTGGTCGAGGATGCTAAACCAGTTGTAGCCCCCCAGTGTGTCTGTGATGTCTTGTATTCTGGGCAGCGGATGTCGATCAGGCACAGTCTTTTTGTTCAGGAGGCGATAATCAATACAAAGATGTAGGCTGCCATCTTTCTTCCTAACACAGACAACTGGGGCAGCATACGGGGACTTGGATTTAACAATCCAGCCTCTCATCCGCAGCTCCTGCACATACTCCTTCACCTCTTTAAACAGTGGCTTTGGGACTGCTGAGTATGCTCTCTGTACAGGGATTTCATCTGTGAGGGTGATCGTCATTTGTAGGCTTGGTATGCATCCAATATCATCGCTGTCACGTGCGAAAGCTCCGGCTTCTTCACACAGCATTTTGTTGACTTTTTCCTTTTGTTTATCATCAAGGTGGCTGAGGTCGATGGGAGGTTGCCACGACGATGGACGGGTGTCAACAGGTGTTCATATGGCACTGTTAACAGTCACTGTGGGCTTGGGTGCTTCCACTCTCTTCTTCTTCTGCGTTTACCCGCAACAAGTGTAGCGCTGAAGTCCCGTGGGATTTCACTTGTTGGAGGGAAACGCACGAAGAAGAAATTGTTTGTTGCAGGAAGTGTGAAAATCGGACGTGTGTGAAG